TATTTTGTTATATATACACACATATATATATATGTATATATATATACATATATATATATGTGTGTATATATAACAAAATATCTAAAAATAGTCCTTTCTTATAACTGTCAATTTCTTAAAATTGTAATGTGATGGAACAATTTAAAAAGCGGATTCGTATTCAATCATAAAATTACGGAAAATAACTGTTCTCGTTTCAGTGTTTCGTTTTGTAATTACTTAAAAAAAGAACTAATAATAAGATATAATATTCATTTAAAGTATCGAAGCCAATAGAGAAATATATTATATTACCGAAGATCGGCAATGTTGACGCATGTCTGGTAAAGGAAACGATATGTGTAATAATCTTGTATCCTCTATTGGAACAATGTACCACATAGTGCGGAGTTGTTCATCCTTGAATGGATGTTCAGGCCATATTGGAACTTCAATTTCGTTGTTTCGTACTTCGCAAAACAAGTCCACTACCATATTTTCGAGTTCATCTAAACTCTCTAAGTAAAAAATTTAGTTGCCAATAGAAGGTATAGTAATGTTTTCAAATGTTCTTATCATAAATAGATTCAATAAATTATCGTCATACCTTTGCCAAGAACAGACAGTGACATAATATTTGCAGAATAATACTTTTCATGAAACTCTAGTAGTTTATTTCGAACATTAATGCCCTTTTGTTTCGGTATTGTGTCTAATGTTTCTCTATTTCCTATGTTGAATTTCGAAAACGGATGATCTGAGCTCGCAGATGATCTTTCTAATTGATCGAATCGCGGGTTATCTCTTGCTAATTGGTCCTCGTATTCTGAATTTATGATATTTAATACTAGTTCAGTCATCTCCTCCGTAAAGAGAGGCGCCAAGAAAAATTGAGCAAAACGGTCTAAAGCACCTTCTAACTTATCGGTAGCTACATCGAAATAATAGATAGTGTGATCTAAATCTGTTGTTGCGTTACTTGCACCACCATTCTGTGATAGAAATTTTTTGAAATCATTTTGTTGAGGATATTTTTTCGTTCCTAGAAACAACATGTGCTCACAAAAATACGCTAATCCAGGTAGATCATCTGGATCGCACATAGAGCCTGTAACACGTATTTTATCTCTAAACTTTGAAATTAATAATTTGACAATTTTTAATAAAAATATATTATTTCCATCACATTATAAAATACAACTAAATCCAGCAGAAAATGTTAACAATATTAACAATAGTAAAGTAATTAAAAAAAATATACATAGACGATAAAAAAATTAAAATATTGACCTCGTGGCCTAAAAATATAGAACAATCGCACGAAATAGATAAGATGTGGGTTCGGTTTTCTCTATATAGCGGCCGATTTTGCTACTTCAGCGCTTTTCCGTACTTCTATTCTTATTTTACGTCTAACGAATGATAAAGACAGAATGATGATTACAAACGCTTAAAGCGCGTAAGCGGCCAAATCGACCGCAGCTTGTATTTGTTATAATTTCTAATATATACAAAATGATTTTATATAAATGTTGTTATAAAAATCGCTAGAAATATGGAGCAAAATAATATAATTACCAGCATTAATGTTTATTGCAGCAGCACTTTTATCAGTTGTTGGATCGCTTATTAAAAAAACTTTCATTTTATTAGTGAGTACCAAATTTCTACATAATTGGACATTTCGTGATTCTATTAAATCATATTGCTTTTCCACACGTTCAGTTGACATATTGGTCATCGGAGCAATAAATTCAGAAGTTTGATTTCCAATTTTCATTTATATTCTAATTGCACAGATGCAAAATAAAAATATGTAGTATGCATTGTTTTTCATTTCTTTGCTTCATCACGTTTAAATGACAAATATACAAATAGGAAAAGAACACAAAGTTGAAACAAAGGAAAACTTAGCTGTAGATAATTGATAAAAAGATCAACTGATAACAACATATTACTAGAAAATAATTTTAGTTGATGGATGTAATACTTTTCTTTAAATAAAAAAATTTAATTAAAACAAAAAAATTTTAATGCAAATTTAAATTAAAAAATATAAATGTTGTATTACGATAAAAAAATGTTTCGAATACGTAAACATACATAAACATGTAATATGAACATTCACAAACATGTACACAATTATACATGGAATATCTATACCTAACTATACATTTCGGTTTTTTTTGTAATATTACTGTTTAATATTTTAGTAATATTACGGGATTCGGACTATGGTGTTGCCAGTGCCATCGATCGACCCCAGTTATTTAAAAATTAAAGTCCTAATTTCGTAGCACATTGTCTTATTCGACTTGACACGGCAAGAGCCAGAAGAGAAGTTTACCTCTCTCAATTTTTTATTTGACTTTATATCAGAAGAAAGCAATTTGTTTCCCGATTGTTCTAAAATGTTATGTATGTTATTAATGTTGAATTCTCGGTTTAGAATTACACGCGATTTAGCAGTTTAACTTTTTCGCGAGGTGCAGTGGTTGCATCTCATTTCCCTAGCGGGTTACAGCATGTGTGATCTTGCGCTAGACTGCTTCGTTAGATTATTAGGCATATGCTTTGATAAATAAATGCGATTTATTTATCAAATGCGTAGTTAATTATTCTCGCTTTCTTTGCCGCTGTTTACGTTCATCGGTATAACTGTATCGTATTTATCTCTCTGGATTGACCTTTTTCTTCTGCCTCGACAACTAAGCAGCCTTCGCGCAGATTTAGCTATATTTGGTATTTTTCACGGGGGAGCTTCGTATATCCTATTCTTTTACGAAAAAAAAACTGTCGTTTATATTTAAATTGCAGCTAGGGTAGTGGCGATAAATTCGCTACAATATAAAAATAATAATAACAAAAAAACATAAAAAATAATTATAAGGGTAATTTTCCTTTATTTCTTTTAGAAAAAAAACAAGTTTGAAGAAATGTAAAAGAACTACTTATATAATTACATATAAAATTATACATAATTATACATAATTTTATATGATAGCTTCTAGAAGCAGATACGTTATATACATAGAACATTCTCTCTCTCTCTCTCTCTCTCTCTCTCTCTCTCTCTCTCTCTCTCTCTCGATGCTTCCGTAATGAGAAAACAGCGTAATATTGTTTTACAAAGATCTTGTATTACCTTGTAAAAGGAAAGAAAAGTGACACTGATAAAGCCACTTGGCGTCGTGTTGAACGGAGCTGCTGACGGTCTCCCGATATTGTCATGAAATCGTCCACCGAGGGAGTCTGAGAATTGCCAATTATGTCAAACCACTTTGATTTAATGATCGATGTAAATATTCGATATGATGACGCGGCGAACAACAGGAGCTGTGTTCTTGTCAAGTATACGTAGAACAATGACGAGTGAAACTCGCTTTTGCAGAGAAACGTAAACACTTCAAGAGTAGGCAAAATTGTTCGCACACGAGCGGCACACGAGATTTTAACGCGCGCATGACGAACTTCGGAGCAATCGGAGCATCGGAGAACGGAGACGAATCTGACGAATTGCAAAGTAGGATCAACGCGAAGTCTACACGCGCTGTCCGCTCTGACTCGCCATTCATATCAACTTATATCACCGGTAGCCAATGAGGATTGTCAATTGACGGTTCTATATTACAGAATCATTATGATGTAACGAGTATGGGCCACCTCCATCGTAGTTCGCGCACTTTACGTGATTAATAATAGAAAATAATTAGCGATTAAGAAATGTTTAACTTCAAGTTTCGTCAAATTACTTTATTATCTCGTACCATAAACAAATTAAAAATTAAAGGTTGTTTCACAACCTTTTCTGACTGTTCATTGAATAATTTTATGTTTTTATTTTTGAAATCTTTATTTTTGTATGTACTGATGGTCAAATCTTGACCGAAACTTCTACATTACCATATTATAATTTTAAATATATGTCTTTTGTTTAAGACATCTACTGATGTGGCTGAATGCTTTCTTTTATTGATATATTTTATTTTGTTTAGTTGACTCATGTAATTCCTTGTAACAATTTATATATTGATATATAAATTTACCTTCTTTTAATATTTACTTCAATGACCGTCATGTCATACTTATTATTTAAATTGTGTCAATTATTCCCTGCTAAAAATGCCAAGCATGTATATGAATTTAGACATCTGATTAAATGTTACTTGCACCGGAAATCCTGTTATATCCAAAATACATTTGGAGTTCCAAATAAGTTTCACGTCAACTCTTGTCTGTAAATCATATTTTGTGAGACGCATATTTAAAATTCCAGATAATGCAAGATAAATTCGTTTATTTTCTGTTTTTATTGAGTACTTCATACAATTACAAATCCATCTTTTATTGGGAAATCCATAAGAAGTTGTTACTAATTTAAACACAAGAATATTTACATAAACCGAATTATGTTATTTCTTGATAAAAACCAGTAAACTTTATATTACAAATTTCTTGCAATACCTAACGTATTTGGAATTGCAGATGTAAACAGACAACATTTTTATCTGAAAATCCAACTATACTATGAAATAGAAATGCTTATATAACCAGATTTTATACTATTTTGAATAAATTTTATGTTAGATAAAGATTGACTTGTCTATGTCTATTCTGATGTGAGCGTATATACTTTTTTCGACATAATTGGAATTTTTAGCAGGATTCCCTATCATATGTTCAATAAGATCTTTTCAATTTGCAATTAATTTATAATGTTAATTGAGACCTTAGTATTATTTGATCGAATGTTTTAAAACAATTCCTTTTCGTGTTCGAAGTGAATCATCATCTGTCATTAGTTTTCCTTATTAATACATATTTTTTATACTGTGTAGTTTAATGTTTTAACAGAATGTACAACATCTACAAATTTAATTGTGACTTCTCTTTAGACATGCAAAGGACAAAATTTTAATGCTTTTATTGCTGAAGAAAACTCCAAAGATACTCGATACATTCGAAGATTATTGGATAAAGATTCGAGAATTAATTTTGCGTAATTACTAACTAACACAACTCTCAATCGCTCTGGTTTTGAATTCTTTTTTTTTGTTTGAATTTGGGAGAGTCTATTGTGGAAGATTATTTGTGAGATATTTCTGAAAACTTTCGGTGCTGTGTGAGTTTATTTAAGAATCATCTTAAATACAACAAGTGATTTATTAATTTTTCTAAAATAATGCGTCAAATTTTTTCTAAAATTATGCGTAAATAAATTCATTCGCTTAATTCACTATCTCGTCACATTTTTTATCACTTAGAAGGGCGTACGCCTTTCCTGAGAAAACATTTTTCTATTGGTTTAACTAGAGGATACAAAGATTGACTATTTTTAAATGACAAAATATCGTCGATTTTCTTAACTTCTTCATCAATTGATAAATCGGTAGTTTCTTCAATTGTGCTATCAGATGAGCTTTTTTCCAATGACGTCGATATTACATGTATCGACAATTTACATCGATCCTTACTATGTACATTTTCCTAGAAAATTTTACATGATAGAAGTACTATATTAACGTTTCAACTACTAAAAAAAGTTATTTTTCTCAACAATTATATCTCATAAAAAAATCATTTTATATTTTCTATTTTTACAATAAAATATTTTTCTTACGAAATAACATTAAATAATAATTTTGTATTCAAGAGTAAATTGATTACCTTGAAAAAATTAAGTAATTGCTGCCGTGATATCGTCTTTAAGTAAGCCACTTCAATATTGACTCGATCGAAGTTATATTGTTGGGTTTCAATCTCATTCCAGTATAAGTCACACCTTGCAGTCAAATTTCCTGGTTTTACCGAAAGTAATGTAGCTAGAGCTTTCTTATTTTCTTCAAATTGTTCTTCTGTCATAGTAGATATGTGATTCTAGAATGTAATTATTAGTAATATTAACTTTAATAAAAATATAGCCTTGTATTATTACACAAAGAATTAGGTAATATAATTGATTATAATATTATAAGATATTGTGTGATAAATGTAAGAAAAGAAATTGTAGTTCCATTAATCAATGCATTAATATATGATCCAAACAGTTCACTCAAATCTTTGTGACTATTTAACATAAGATGAATGTATTAGAAAACAACACGGACATTATCCATTAAAAACGATCCTCAAAAAAGTACTTATAAACTTAATATTGACACACATTGTAAACAAAAGCATATTTTTTATATAGTATAATTGACATTTCTGATATATTAAATTAACAAGAATTTCATGCAGTCATCTTGGGTTTTAAAATACATTGTTTTTACGGTACTTGTTGACTTACTCATAAATTATGTTATTTTGGCACTAAGAAACATTGAATATCAATTTAACACAACATTTTTAAATAACATAATCGTTATATTATATTAACACACGAATATGTTAAAAAATTTAACACAAACGATTAACAAGAACATAAGTGGATTTCACACAAATACACAATATTTTTTACTACATAAGATATGATTATACTTACCAACATGGAGTCTAAAAATAAATTGATTCGTTTTTCGACGTATTGCGGGTGTTTATTGCTTTGTACAACGATTTGCAAGCCTTGTGTTCCAATCGATCTATGTATATCACTAGATACCATATAGCCTAATTGCTCACTAGTTTTTAAAGTATTATAGCAAGGTCCTTTAATAATTTGTGCTATGAGCTTTGACAGCATATTCGACTCTGTTGATTGTAAACCAGTTGGATAATATACCAATGTACAAGAACTTTTATGAAAAT